CATCACTAACTTCGACAACTTCTTCTTCGCCATGCTGACGGTCTTCCAGTGTGTCACCATGGAAGGATGGACCGATGTGCTCTACTGGGTGAGGTGGAAGGAGGGCACACAGTTAGAGGCTGTACCTGCCTTTTCTCTGTGAGCTCTGAGGCAGGAATGTCTGCATGCCCTGAGGGAGGCATGTCCTCTCTCTCCCCAGATGCAGGATGCCATGGGGTATGAGCTGCCCTGGCTGTATTTTGTGAGTCTCGTCATCTTTGGGTCCTTCTTCGTCCTCAACCTTGTACTTGGCGTCCTGAGCGGGTGAGGAGCCTCGACACCCCCCCTCCTCCTGCCCTTCAGACTCTGTCTCTTTTTTCTTCCTGGAAAACTCCTAGGCAACCTTCAAAACCCATCTGAAATACCCCACCATCCATTCAGTCAATATTGAGCATCTACTGGGTGCAAAGCACCATTTTAGGAATGGAACAAGAGACAAAAACCCCTGCCTTCCCAGATATTACATTTGGGAGTTAGGGGGAAGACAGACTATAGCAACGTATACAATAAGTAACATATACATAGTGTTTTATATGGAATATGTCCTATGAAAAGGAAAGAAGAATAAAAATAGGAATAGGAAGGCATCTGGCCAATTTGGTAGAACAGGGAAAAACACTTGCATATCAATTTTGATCAACTCTACAGTACATTTTGGATTTATGTCACATTTGCAAAAATTGCAGTTGAAGGTACATTAATTGGTCTTATGCCTTTTTTAATGTATTATTGTGGATAATGAAGATGTTTGCATGGCCAAAAAAAATAGGAATGGGGCTATCTTGCAGTTATAAATAGGGACAGTGAGGACAGGCCTCCTTGAGAAGGTATTACTGAGTAAAAATGTGAAAGAGATGAGGGAATGAGTCATGTGGCTCTCTGAGGAAAGTGTCTCAAGCAGAGGGAACATTCTGTGCAAAGGCTCCAAAGCACGGATGTGCTTGGCATATTCAAAGAACAGCAAGGGTGTCAGGGTGGCTGGAATGGGGAAGGCAAGGGGGCCAGGGTGGTTCCTCCACCTCACTCTCTATCCTCCACCCTCAGGGAGTTCTCCAAGGAGAGGGAGAAGGCAAAAGCACGGGGGGACTTCCAGAAGCTGCGGGAGAAGCAGCAGTTGGAGGAGGACCTGCGGGGCTACCTGGACTGGATCATGCAGGCAGAGGAGCTGGACATGGAAGACCCCTCAGCTGATGGCAACCTTGGTTCTGTGGCTGAAGAGGGCAGGGCTGGCCACCGTAGGCAACCCCAATGTGGCCCATTCCCTGCTCCATGTGGGGTGCCCTCCTGAGACCCAGATCTCGCCTGCAACAACTCTAGGCCCAGCCCTCATATGTGACCTAGGATACAGAACCTAGATTCAGATTCAGACCCACCTCCCAACTGTACCCAGAACAGATTCCAAATAACCCACTTCCCACACACACAGCCCTTCCCCTGCCTCAGGCCATGGTCCTCAACTGTCCTCCCTACCTCTGCAGGACCACAACTGGCAGAGCTGACCAGTAGGAGGCATGGACATCTGCGCTGGTTCAGTCACTCCACCCGCTCCACACACTCCACCAGCAGCCATGGTGGGTGTCCGTCCTGGTTGGGGAGGGGCAGGATGGGTAGATGGAGCAGAAAGCCAAGGATGGAAACTTGAGATCTTCATGTGCTGACCTCTGTTCCCACCCGGCCCACAGCCAGCCTGCCAGCCAGTGACACTGGTTCCATGGCAGAGACTCCAGGCGATGAGGAAGAGGAGGATGGGGCTCTGGCCAGTTGTACACGCTGCCTGTGAGGGCCCCAACCCTTTGACCCCTGACCCAGCCCAGAACTCAGTTCAAACCCTGACCCCAGTGCTTACTTTAGTTTCCAACCTTGACCTCAGCCCCTGACTTCTGATCCTAGCCACTGACTGCCTCTCAGCCCTTTATGACACTCACCTCCCATCAACCTCTTTTACAGAAACAAGATCATGAAAACCAGGGTCTGGTAAGTTGAGGAAGTTATGTGACTCCTGGACCCCATGTCTCTGTGATCCTCACCTGAGTCCCACAGGGCAGGCTGAGGTAGGTGATCTCAGCCAATGGGTGATCTCCTTTCTGCCCAGCCGCAGCCTCCGTCGAGCCAACCAGCGTCTCCGGGCATGCTGCCGGCAAGCTGTGAAGTCCAATGCCTGCTACTGGGCTGTGCTGCTGCTTGTCTTCCTCAACACGCTCACCATTGCTTCAGAGCACCACGGGCAGCCCATGTGGCTCACTCAGACCCAGGGTGCGCCTCCCAGCCTGCCAGCCCTCTCCCCCAGCCTCCAATTCCCTTCATCCCAGGAGCTCCAATTCAGGATCCCTCGGGTGTCTCAGACCCCCAAACACTGCCTTCCCCACAAGTAAATGCAGAAATCTTAGCCTGTCCCATCCCACTTGTAGCCTACACTTCCGTAGCTCTTTTATTATTATTGTCTAAAGTAGGGGTGTCGAACTCAATCAGAGAAGGGGCCAAAATCTAAAATCCAGCCTAAATCGCGGGCCGAATGGTTTACTGAACAGTCATAAACTGTCATTGTGATGGAAACGCAGCGGAGTGCAGTGATGACAGCGCGGTGCGGGCCACATTGCAAGGCCTGGCGGGACGGATTTGGCCCGAGGGCCTTGTGTTTGACACATGTGGTCTAAAGTCTTACATAGGTCTTCTTTTATCCCAGTTGACATCCCCCCATCCCCGCGACATTCCCACCTCAAGCAAGCAACCACTGGCCCAGCATCTGTGTCCATTGGTTATGCTAATATCCATGCATACAAGTCCTTTGGTTGCTCTCTAACCCCCCTCCCGCCCCCTACCATTCGTCTCTGGACCTATTTTTGTTCATCATCTTTATTATTATTATTATTATTATTATTATTATTATTATTGATTTCAGAGAGGAAGAGAGAGATAGAAACATCAATGATAAGAGAGAGAATCATTGATCAGCTTCCTGGTGCACACCCCTACTGGGGATTGAGCCTGTAACCCAGGCATGTGCCCTTGGCCGGAATTGAACCCGGGACCCTTCAGTCTTCAGGCCAACGCTCTAACCACTGAGCGAGCAACTGACTAAGGCAGAGTCCAGGCTCTTACCACACTGGACAAGTTAACCCCTCTGTGCTTCAATTTTCTCATCTATAAAATGAGATGGTTATAATACTCACTTTATGGGGTGGGTAGGAGGATTAAATTTAAGTGGAAAGTGCTTAGCACATTGCCTAACACTTTATAAATCATAGTTATTACAAGAATTCATTTTCATCTCAACCCCAACCTTAATACTGAGTACTCTTCTAACCCCAAACTTCAAACCAACCCCAGTCCTAATTAAAACCCAGACTCTAACTCTACCCTTGAATTGGAGCTTTTCTGGACTCATAGAAGCTGATTGATGCCCCACCCCAACTCTGCCCTTTACCCCAACTCTAAGCCCCTCATCCACTCTGACCTATAAATTCACCCCAATTCCTAACCCTAATCCCACCCCCAGCCTGTGCCTGGCCTGATACCAGCTATCCCAGATCATCCCATGGCCCTTCCTCCTCTCATGTCACCATGGAAACTAGCCAGCCCTCCCCCTTTCCCCACAGAGTATGCCAACAAAGTGTTGCTCTGTCTGTTCACGGCGGAGATGCTTCTCAAGCTGTATGGTCTGGGCCCCTCAGCCTATGTTTCGTCCTTCTTCAACCGCTTTGACTGCTTCGTGGTCTGTGGGGGCATCCTGGAGACCACACTGGTGGAAGTGGGTGCCATGCAGTCCCTGGGCATCTCAGTGCTCCGATGCGTGCGCCTCCTCAGGATCTTTAAAGTCACCAGGTATGTGTTCGGAGAGGGGGGAGAGGGGATTGAAGCCATAAACACAGCCCCAACAGCCCACACCCCAGTCCCAATGATAATATATATATATATATATATATATATATATATATATATATATATATATATATATATATATATATTTCACCATCTAATTTGCAAATATCCATTGAGTGCCTGCTGTGTACCAGGCACCATTCCAGGCCTTAGGGAAATACCAGGAATCAAAGCAGACACCAGTTCCTGCCTTCGTGGAGATTCAAGTTCTGTGGGAAGGGTGTCTATTCCATTTCCATCTTCTTCCTCAACCTCAACCCTGCCTCTGAACTCAACTCCATACTCATGCCCAACCCAAACCCCATCCCAACCCTCAACTACAACACCATCTCTAGCCCAACTCCCAACCACTCATCATTCACAAGCCCATTTACAACCCCAACACCCAATCCAACCCCATCTCCAACCTCATTCCTAATTCACAGCCTCATTCTCATCACTAACCACAATCCCCCCATTCCTAGCTCCTAACCATCAGTTAATCTCCAACCACAGCCCTGTTCCCAGCCCCAATCTTATCCCCAACTCAGTCATCTACAACTCCAAACACTCCCCAATCCTAACCCCAACATTGACCCCAGCTGCAATTTCAAACTTCAACCCCAGTCCTGGTCCCAACCTGAAACCCAATTCTAGCTCCATCAATTTCCATTTACCCTCCATCCTAACCTCATCTCCCATTATTCCCCTAACGCTTAACCCAAATTTCAGTCTTCCTCTCACTTCTTATCTTTGCCTCACCCCAGCTCCAAAATCACTTCTGACCCTGATACCAAAGGCCATTTTAACTCAGTCCACCCCAATGAACCTCAAGCTGGAATTCCTGACTCACCACTGGACATGTCAACCCTGCCCCCTCCATCTCTGCTGCAGGCACTGGGCATCTCTAAGCAATTTGGTGGCATCCCTGCTCAATTCAATGAAATCCATTGCATCCTTGCTGCTTCTCCTCTTCCTCTTTATCATCATCTTCTCCCTACTTGGCATGCAGCTATTTGGGGGCAAGTTCAACTTTGACCAGACACACACCAAGCGAAGCACCTTCGACACCTTTCCCCAGGCCCTCCTCACTGTCTTTCAGGTGGGGCCTGGAGATGATGGGATGGGGGTGGGTCAGGGGCACCCTAGGGTGCAGGGAGGGTCCCAAGAGCTTCATGGTGAATTCCCGCCCCACCCCCCAGATCTTGACAGGTGAAGACTGGAACGTGGTCATGTATGATGGTATCATGGCTTACGGTGGCCCCTTCTTCCCAGGGATGCTGGTGTGCGTCTATTTCATCATTCTCTTCATCTGCGGCAACTGTATCCTCAAAACCTTGGTGGGGGTGCTGAATGGTGGAAGGTGGGGTGGATAGAGGAGTCTGGGTGGTCCACAAGCAGGCTGCTTCTTCATCCTTTGTAGCCTGAGCTCACCCCAGACATCCTGTTGAATGTGTTTCTTGCCATTGCTGTGGACAACCTAGCCAGTGGAGATGCAGGCACTACCAAGAACAAGGGCAGGTGATGTCTGGCTCCAGCCCTAACATAGTCTCCCCCTGGATCCCTGCCTGGGAATCCACACACACACCCCACACCCCACAAATGCCTCAGTCACCCTGGCAATCCCCAGCCCCCCATCCAACCTGCCAGTTCTCGTTCATTCAACATGCATGTATTGAGCACCTACTTTGCGCCAGGTCCTGTTCTAGATACTGAGGAAATATCAGGGGTCAAGGTAGACAGAATCCTCTCCTTCAAAGAGCTGACATTTGAGTTGGGGGAGCAAGAAAAATACATAAAAATGAATATATAATATACTTTAAATATATGTGAATATGTAACAAAGAAAAAGAGTGAAATAAAAGAACAGAGAAAAATAAAGATTGCTATTTTGGTTAGGTAGTCAAGGAAGGTCTCTATATGGAGGTGACAGTTGAACAGAGAACTGAAAAAACTGAGGGAGTGAGCCATTCAAATATTCGGGGGAAGAATGATCAAGGCAAGGGGACAGCAAATCAAAGGTCCTGATGTGATGATAGTCTTAGCACATTCAAAAAAATACCAGGGAGACCAGTGAACAAAGGAGAGAGTGGTAGGAGGTGATCTCAAATGGGGGAAATAGCAAGGCCAGATTTAGGGTGTTTGGGGCCACAGTGAAGACTTTGGTTTTTGCTCTGAGTGGGAACCATGGGAGGGGTGTGAGCAGAGGAGCGATGTGCCAGACTTAGGATTTAACAGGATCCTTCTGGCTACTGTGAGAAGAACAGACTGCGGGGATGAGGGCGGAAGTAGGCAAGTTCTGTGGGGTCTAAGAAAGGTCTGTTCTGACTGCAATGTTCCCCCCTCATCCTCACCCATCTGCTGCAATCCTTAGCAATCACACACACCCCCATTTTCTCACACAGGGAGAAGAGCACTGAAGGGAAACACCCACAGGAAAATGGAGCGTTAGTGAGTTAGAAACCTGGGCACTGTCTACACCTCATACTACCATCAATGCCTATCTATGTGTTTGAGTTTTTAACCCCCAACCTCTGCCTATTCAATCCTTCATTACTGCATCCCTTCCATGCCTCCCTATGTCCATCTCCTGATGTCTCCCCTACCACTGATGACCCCTATCTTACTGTCCCCAGGTGCCTGGTGGGGAGAATGAGAAAGAGGAGGGTGCAAAGAATGAAGGAGCAGGCAAGTGACCAGGAACAGGTGGAAGATGTGTGGAGCCCTAGGGACAGCACCCAGGCAGAGTTCTTGACCCCTGAGACCCTCCCGTTTAGGGAGCAGCCTTTCCCAAGACCATCTTGAAAATAATGGTCATGGTTTTTGGCCATCAACATTGGGACATTGAGATTAAAGAAGATTAACAAGTGTTTTGTTTTACTGAGGAACTTCTCAGAGCCTTTATTTTATAACTAGAGGCCTGGTGCACAAAATTCATGCATGGATGCAGTCTCTAGGCCTGGCCAGAGATTAAAGCATGAGTGTCTGCCTGAAAGTGCAGGTCCTAGCTGACCTCTGGGCCCCGGACAGCACCTGGGCCCCCAGGGCCCCACATGCCCCCCTCTGCCTGAGTCATCCGGCCTTGCCCAGCTCCCTCAGTGCCTGGGAGCTAGGCAGCGGCCCCACCCCCTGCCACCGCTCCTGGTTGCCATCTATAGGGTGATCAGCAGGGTGATAAGGCTCCACTCACACCCACCTTGTCCTAGCACCGCCCACTCAGCTACTCCACCATCCCACTGAGGTATCACTTTTATAGGGGCCCAGCAGTGCCTCCACTGCCACCTGCTGCCAGCGCCACATCACTGGCACCCACCATGCTCTGAGCTGCCCCCTGGTGGTCATCACATGTCATAGTGAGCAGTCAAGGTCCCGGTTCAGGGGACAATTTGCATATTAGGCTTTTATTATATAGGATAGCATGTATATGACTGCAAGGATGGCAATGTTCACTCAACACACATTTACTGAGCTCTTACTGTGTCCCAGACACTGTTCTAAGTGTTGAGGACACAACCGTAAATAAAACAAACTAAAATTCCTTCTCTGAGGAGCTGACATTCTAGCAAAGAAATTAGAAGAATTTACCATGTGTCAAGCACTGTTCTAGCTGCTTTACATGCATTTTCTCAATTTCCTCTCTTCTGATCTTGTGGTGCCAGGCATGGAGGAAGAGGAGGAGGAAGAGGAAGAAGAAGAGGAGGAAGAAGAGGGTGCAGGACGTGTGGAACTCCTACAGGAAGTTGTTCCCAAGGAGAAAGTGGTGCCCATCCCTGAGGGCAGTGCCTTCTTCTTCCTCAGCCAAACCAACCCGTGAGTGCTGGGGTGGAGAGCAATAGTGGGGCAGGAGGGGCTGGGGCAGGCAGAGGGCCAGGGGACAGCCAAGGCTCAATGGGGCAGTGTACACAGCCTGATACAACAGGCCTGAGCTGCATCCTTTGGGCTCTCCCAATCAACTCTGGTTTCTGACCACAGCCCATTCCCCATCCCCAGAATGAGGAAGGCTTGCCATACCCTCATCCATCATCATGTCTTCACCAATCTTATTCTGGTATTCATCATCCTCAGCAGTGTGTCCTTGGCTGCTGAAGACCCCATCCGAGTCCACTCCTTCCGCAACCACGTAAGCCTTTGGGGGGGGGACTCCCAGGAATGTCCTACTGGGCACTATCCAGGCCATTGTGCAGACAGGGAGAAGACCCCTATATGGACAGAAAGAGAAGGGCAAGAATGGCGGCCTTACTGTGTATGCATCACACTGTGAAAGTTCCAGGGAGGAGATCAGTATACAGCTGAAGAAGAAACTGTGCTCAAAGAGGTTGAACAGGCCCAGGGCACCCATGTAGCTGGGTAGAGGTAGAGAAGCACAAATTTGAACCCTAGTCTTTCTGATGGCCAAGCCTTTTGCCTTGTAGAGAAGTTCTTAATGATCATAAGAAAGAGAGGGAAGGGAGGAGGGAGGGATAGCAATGTTTACACAGAGAGGTACAAGTGCATGTGTGTGTGTGTGTGTGTGTGTGCGTGCACACACAACACACACACACACACACACACACACACCTAGGATATCCCACAGCCATGACTCAGTCACTTTCCTCTTTCTCATCCCCCAGATTCTGGGGTACTTTGATTATGCCTTCACCTCCATTTTCACCGTGGAGATTCTACTAAAGGTAACTAATGGGTCCCCAATCACATCCCCAATTGCCCCAACCCACTCCCACCCACCCCCATAACCCACCTCTCCTGTTTCCATACCCATTTACCCCTTCTATTCCCAAATATGGGGTCTAACCTGATTACCTCTATCCCCAACTCCAGATGACGGTGTTTGGGGCCTTCCTGCACAAAGGCTCCTTCTGCCGTAGTTGGTTCAATTTGTTGGATCTGCTGGTGGTCAGTGTGTCCCTGATCTCTTTTGGCATCCAGTAAGTGACCCTTCACCTACCCCATTCCTCCAGAGCTGAGGCAAGGCCTGAGCCAGGGCCTGAGGACTGCCCCCTCCCCAGCTCCAGCGCAATCTCGGTAGTAAAGATTCTGCGAGTACTCCGAGTACTTCGGCCCCTTAGAGCCATCAACCGGGCCAAAGGACTCAAGGTAACTCCACCCCACCCAAGTCCACAGGATCCAGGCCTTGCCCCAGGGGCCAAAATCACTTATCAGATTGACCATATGCATGATGCATGACCACATGTAACAGACCATTGGCCACGTGGCCAGACTCATATTCCTTAACCAATGACCACATTTTTCTGATCTGAGTCCCTGGCATGTGACCACATAACCTGTCTGGTAAACACTTATTCCTGGTTGGTGCCCACACATCCCTGGCCCATATCACTGCCCCTTAATCACATGTTCCTGACCACATATCCTTGACTCAAAATAACATGTCCCTGACCCAAGTCTCTGAGCTCCATCCATGCCCAGAATCCCTGCCCCATGGTTGCTGTGGCCTGCCCTGTCCATTGGTCATATTTGTGGGTACCTGCAGCACGTGGTGCAGTGTGTGTTCGTGGCCATCCGGACCATCGGGAACATCATGATCGTAACCACACTTCTGCAATTCATGTTTGCCTGCATTGGTGTGCAGCTCTTCAAGGTGGGAAGAAACACCAGAGGGAGGCCCAGGCATGAGTCAAGGTGGGGTTGAAGGGTTCACCTGCTTGGCAAATATCCGCCCTACAGGGGAAATTCTACAGCTGCACTGATGAGGCCAAACACACCCCCAAAGAATGCAAGTAAGTAGCCAAGACTCTGCCCTCACTGGGCCCAGGACCCTTCCCAAAAGCTACAGAGGCCCCTTGAGCTCACCTAGGCCCCTGAAACCCTTAGAGTTTCCTCCAAAAAATTTCAGAGATTATCAAGACTCCCAGAACTCCCCAAGCCTCCAAGATACACCACCAGAATTGTCCCAAGAACTGCAAAGGCCCTCAGATCTCACCAAACTCTAAGAGGCTCCTCAGTACCTTCCCAAACCCCTCTCCACCTCCCAGAATTACCTATATTTTATTCTGGACCTCCCAGCCATCCCCAAACACCATGACACCCAAGCACCACTCAATCCTCAACTTCCATCCTGTATAGAGGGTAGAGGTTAGAAGCATGGACTTTGAAATAAAAAAAAATTCCTGGTTCAAATCATCCCATGAGACTTTTCTTAACCTTGTAATTTCTTACATTGCTTAACCTTGCTGAATCCCATTTTCTTTACCTGAAGAATGAGGATTTTTAAAAATGTGACCATCACTGATTTTTTGTGAGTAAATGAGTTATTACATGGAGAGTGTACTACAATGTAAAGTCACTAGATATAAAGCCTAGTACCATGCCTGGCATAAACTTAGTGCTGAACAGGTTGACTATTATTTGTATTACCTTTTTCTGGATGGTGATGATAATGATGATAATGGTGATGAGAGCTAACATACAAAGATTGGCAAAAGTAGGTTTACAGTTGTAATACAAATAATACTACAAGAATGAACTCTGTATCTCATGCATTCACAACTCTAAACCTACTTTTGCTCTACCCTGTATGTGGTGCCAACTATGTGCCATACACTATTCTCATTATTGACTTAATTATACGTGTAACAAGAAAGTAAATACATTGTTCTTACTTTTATTTCATGGAGAGGGAAAACTGAAGCACAGAGAGGTTAAATGTCCAAGGTGACCCAGCCAGTAAATGGAGGGGCAGGATTTGAACCCATGCTATCCAGTTCCACCATGATGCTCTGCTGCCTCCATGCTGGAAACCTCAGTCCCCTTTACACAGCTTTCCACCCCTCCTCACCCACTCAGACTGTCTACAACATCTACAGGGGCTCCTTCCTGGTCTATCCTGATGGAGATGTGTCACGGCCCCTGGTCCGGGAGCGGCTCTGGGTCAACAGCGATTTCAACTTTGACAATGTCCTTTCAGCCATGATGGCTCTGTTCACTGTCTCCACCTTTGAAGGCTGGCCTGCGTGAGGAGAAGGGCCCCAGGGATGAGCAAGGGACAGGGAAGGAGTATCTAGGGTACTGGCTTGGAATCTGCTGAAGGATGGGTGGGAGAGTATCTTGAAGTGTGATCAAGGTCTCTCAAGACTGGATAGGGTTTTCTGGGGACTGGTGGGCATATCAGAAGACTGGATGGGGGGTCTCCCAGTAGCTTGCTGGGGTGTTTTGGGGACCCGGGTGGGTGGGATCTCCAGGAATTGGATAGAGATCTCTGAGGGGTTAGGTAGAAGTCTAGAGAGGACTGGGTAGGATTTAGGGGGGACCAGGTAGATGCCTGGGGAAATTGGTTGAGGGTCTAAGAGGAGATGGAATGGGGGATTCAAGGGTTTCCAGAGAGTTGTGCAAGTCTTCAGGATAGTAGTTGGAGATCACTAGGGAGGTGGAGAAGGGAATTCAAGTTGATGGTATTTAGCAATATTTGGGGGTTGGTGGGAGAGTTCTGGGCAACTGCATAGGGATTACGGTGGATGGAGAAGGGGATTTGGGGTGTCTGTGGGAGCTTAAAGGATTTGGGAGTCTTTGAGGGCCTAGTGGAGGTCTCTTAGAGTATTTATGGAGGTCCTAGGAGATTAGGTCAAGGGATCTAGGGGTCTTTGGAGGTACCAAGCAGGAGATTTTGAGGTGTTAATGATAACTGGTCTGGAGGAAGTTCTGAGGGGACTGGTATATCCCCTCACCTGCCTCCACCGGCTCCACAGGCTGCTATATAAGGCCATCGATGCACATGCAGAGGACCAGGGACCCATCTATAATTACCATGTGGAGATTTCAGTGTTCTTTATTGTCTACATCATCATCATCGCATTCTTCATGATGAACATCTTTGTGGGCTTCGTCATCATCACCTTCCGTGCCCAAGGCGAGCAGGAATACCAAAACTGTGAACTGGACAAGAACCAGGTGACCTCTGACCCCTGATACATAACCATCAACCCCCCAAATACACCTCTTTGCCTTGGGACCTCACTGCTCACTCATGCCCTGCACCCATATGCAGCGCCAGTGTGTGGAGTACGCCCTCAAGGCCCAGCCACTCCGCCGCTACATCCCCAAGAACCCGCATCAGTATCGTGTGTGGGCCACTGTGAACTCTGCTGCCTTTGAGTACCTCATGTTTCTGCTCATCCTGCTCAACACGGTTGCTCTAGCCATGCAGGTCTGAGCTCCTCACCCTGACCCCTGCCAGATACCCTATCCTGTCTACACAATACCTTGAGAACTATTAGGCATGCTTTAGGCTGCAAGTAACAAAACCCTCAACTGACAGAGACTTGTTATAAAAATATTTGCTACATATCCATAATGGAGGTAGATAACATGAGGGGTTAGGCCAACTCATTGTGCTATACCACATCCTCAGACTCCCCTCACTCCTAGCCAGAAAACATTTGACTAGGGGTGGGGGGTTCTCTGCTTCAGGTGCTATCCTCACACCTGATTTTCTCCGCCAGCACTATGAGCAGACTGCTCCCTTCAACTATGCCATGGACATCCTCAACATGGTCTTCACTGGCCTCTTTACTATTGAGATGGTGCTCAAAATCATCGCCTTCAAACCTAAGGTATGCCCCACCTGCAGTGGGTGAATTCCTTGGGGTGGAGCTCATTGCAGTGCTCTCAGGAGGTCAGCAACCAGGGAGTCATGAGACTAGGGAATGAGAGGGATCCAGATGCAGGGCCATCATGTAGTCTAAGCTGGGCTCTGTCTCCCCAGTTTCCCCACCATACTGGCCCCCTACCCTAGCTTCCTAAATATGAGAAGACAGGGTTCTGCTTTCCTCCTGCCTCCAGCATTACTTTGCCGATGCCTGGAACACATTTGATGCTCTTATTGTGGTGGGCAGCATAGTGGACATTGCTGTCACTGAAGTCAATGTGAGTACTGGCCTGTCCACTAACCCACTCTCCCCCTGCTAATCTTTCCTCACCTCAACCCCAGGGCTTTCTTTCAAATGGGTAGAGGAGATGACATACTCCCATCCACCCCATTCATGGAGACTCAGTGCTCCTCATTCTAGTTCTATCCCTTCTGAGTCCCTGTTAGATTCAGCCAAAATCCCCCTCCACCATCTCCCTCATGTCATTTGCAGCCCATATTCTGGACCCACCATCACCTAACATGACTTTGTTATTTCTATTATTTCCTTCATTGTTTCTACATCCACCTCCATTGGCTCCATCATTTCTTCTGATTTCTTCAATGACTCCATCATCTCCAATGCTGGGTCTTTCACATCTCTGTCATTACCGTTGACTGCATGGTTGGCTTCATAATCTCCTCCATTCGGTATTATATGTTACTGTTACATCTATTGACAATGCTGCTGCTTCCATACCTCCATCATTGGCTTGGCTTCTCCAATGGGTCTCCCCATGGGTTCTCTCATATCCATCATCTCCATAAAACAACTGGCTCCAACATTTCCTCCATTGGCTCCAAAATCTCTCCTTCATAATGTCCTGTACCCTCTCCTCTCCTTCACCCCCATTACCAACTTTTCCCACAACCATCTTGATCCACTAACATATTGTAATATAACCTTCCCCATTGGACCTTGCATAATGACTGTACCATCCATTATCCCCTATAACTGTTCAATCATTTATCCCCTTGTTCACTTGGACCTGTGATCACATAATCTCCTTTATCTCCTCTGTATTGACCATATCTCCCTCCAGAATGGTGGCCATCTTGGCGAGGTAGCTCCCCTCATCAACAGGGACTCTGCTTTTCCCCCCACCCACCCTCTCTTCCTTTTTACCTTAAGAGACCTTATAAAATGCTCCCTGACCATCCTGGGACCTGACTTCTTACAGACTTAGGGGCTGGGAGGGCCCAAGCTTGAAGCAGGGAGGTGGCTGGGGAAAATGTGGACTGAGCATACCCACCACACTCCCAACCCCAGAGCTCTGAGGACAGTTCCCGCATTTCCATCACCTTCTTTCGCCTCTTCCGAGTCATGCGATTGGTCAAGCTTCTCAGTAAGGGTGAAGGGATCCGCACACTGCTCTGGACATTCATCAAGTCCTTCCAGGTAACCCCCCATCCCTTTGACCACCCCTTACCCCAGCCTTACCCCTCAGCCTGCTATTTTACCACCCTCAGAACTATATCTCCTAATGTGCCACACCCTCCTGCAACTTCCCATTTTCAGTTTTCTCTCTTTTCTAGGGTCTCAATTCCCAGCATGTCTTGGCTTCACTGACTTTAGTCTATTGAATTTAATACTGTGTCCACATTTGGAATACACTGGTAGTCATCACATGGGCACTTGGGGGATGGACCACATCTCTCATCAGGTCCAGGCTTGAGGGAGCAGTGCATTCTAGGGATTATAGTTCTCTGCCTGGACCTGAGTATCTATCTTCCTCTCCACCCCATAGGCCTTGCCCTATGTTGCTCTTCTCATCGCAATGATATTCTTCATTTATGCAGTCATTGGAATGCAGGTGAGTGGGGACCATCCCTCAGGCACTTCTCTGCTGAGGGAGGTTGATTAGGAAGAGCCTGAAATTGGGATTGGTGGGTGGAAAGACAGACACACTGGATGACCCTGAGACAGTCCACATGTCAGTGAAATGGAATCAGCAATGCCTGCTTGTCAGGGTTGTAAGGACCCTTTGGGTATTAGGAGTTGTGAAAAGGGTGGCAGCCTAGGGGGCATGGGTTCACCCCTCTGACACAGCCTCTGTGTGCCCACAGATGTTCGGCAAGGTGGCCCTTCAGGATGGCACACAGATCAACCGAAACAACAACTTTCAGACTTTTCCGCAGGCTGTACTGCTTCTGTTCAGGTGACATTTACTCCTCCCTCTGCCACCTCAGTCCCCAGCATGCCCTTTTGGGTCCCAGACTGCCTGAGCTGTGGAAATAACAGGGCAGCATAGAGTTCCATGTTGCCTGGGACCTTTTCTGGCTGTGACCTGAGTATTTGAGAATACTCTAGCCTCACCCATCCTTTTACTGGCTGTAAGATGTATCCCTTTCTTTGGCCTCAGTGTCCTATCTGTAAAATGTGAATATGACCATCATAAACATGGCATGTCAGCTTTTTAAATTTAGAAATGCTATTTGTGCCAAATGTAGCCCCTGGCAGGAGGTGGGTCATACCCTAACCTTTCCAGTTCCCATAATACCATTTGCCATGACTTCAGAGCCTTCCCTCTAGGATGACACCCCCATGTGATCCCCAGGTGTGCCACTGGTGAGGCATGGCAGGAGATAATGCTTGCCACCCTTCCCGGGAATCGATGTGACCCTGAGTCTGATTTCGGCCCTGGCGAGGAGTTTACCTGTGGTAGCAATTTTGCCATCGCCTATTTTATTAGCTTCTTCATGCTCTGTGCCTTCCTGGTGAGGACCTTTTCCCCATACCCAACACCACTGCCATAGGGGCTGGCCCTGAAGGGTCTGGGGATGTCAAATGAGGTGGGGAGCCCAGATCTTCAGAGTAGGTGAAAGGGCTGGCCTGGTTCAGGGATTTCTAACCCAATGACCATATAATCTTACCTCAGCCCCCCACCAACCCCCTATACTTCCTACTCTGCCCTTCACCTAACCCCCCGCTCATTGGCCCACAGATTATAAATCTCTTTGTGGCTGTGATCATGGACAACTTTGATTACTTAACCAGAGATTGGTCCATCCTGGGTCCCCATCACCTGGATGAATTCAAGAGGATCTGGTCTGAATATGATCCTGGAGCCAAGTATGCCCTCTAACCTCTAACTCCACACCTGGCATCCCAGGGGACAGTGCACTGCCCCACACTCTCCTAGCCCCAGAACCTCTAACCTACTCCTCCCATTACCCGGTCAGTAGATGCCCCAGGGTCCCTCGACACTGTCTCCTGACCCCCCCTCCTACATTCCCCCACAATGATTGCCCTTCAATTCTGCCCTGGCAGACCCTGGGGTGTTGTTGGGGAGATGTAGTAATGAGCTGGTGGGTCCTTGAGAAAGGATTAGAGGGGTATCTCCAATCCAGTGCTGCCTCCCACCCACTCCCACCTGCCCAAGGGGCCGCATCAAGCACCTGGATGTGGTTGCCCTGCTGAGACGCATCCAGCCACCACTGGGATTTGGGAAGCTGTGCCCACACCGAGTGGCCTGCAAGGTCTGTGCACCTGCCCACCCCCGCCTTGCCTCTGAGAGAGCTGTCCACCACCTGGCAAGGGTGGGCGGAAACTTTGCCTTGGGTGAGGAGGGGGTGTTTGGTTGCACCTTCAAAGGTTTCTGTCCCTGGACATCCAGGCCTGCATCGCAGGCATTTGCCCAAAGTGGGTTTTGTGTCCCTGGTGTGCACAGAGACTTGTGGCGATGAACATGCCCCTCAACTCAGATGGGACAGTGACATTCAACGCCACGCTCTTTGCCCTGGTTCGGACATCCCTGAAGATCAAGACAGAAGGTGTGTGGGGGGATGGGAGACAGGAGTGGAAGGATCCCTGGGGAGGTTGCAGGGAGCAAACTGAGTGCTGGGTCCCACTCCTAGTTCTGAACCTCAAAATAGGTGACTGTTTTCTCCCAAGCCCATTTCCCCACCTGTCCAATAGGGGCGGTGGTGCATGACTTCAGTAGAAGCTTGCGAAGCCCCTCCAACAGTGAGGTAGTGGCTGTGAAAGACTCTTCCTATTGGCTCATGCCCGTCCCCATCCCCCATCCTCTCCTGGAGCAGGGAACCTGGAGCAAGCCAATCAGGAGCTTCGGATTGTTATAAAAAAGATCTGGAAGCGGATGAAGCAGAAGCTGCTGGATGAAGTCATCCCCCCTGCTGACGGTGAGCTATCCTCACCCCAATTCTTGATCCAGCCTCTGAATGTCAGATGATTGCTCACCAGCGCTGGCTGGGGGGAGGGGGAAATTATGCTGTGGGCAGGGTTGGAGGAACAGAGGACCCCTATGTGACCTTGCCTCCTCTCCCTTGCCTCCAGAGGAAGAGGTCACCGTGGGCAAATTCTATGCCACATTTCTGATCCAGGACTATTTCCGCAAATTCCGGCGAAGGAAAGAAAAGGGGCTACTTGGGACTGAGCCCCCGCCAAGCACCTTCTATGTCCTTCAGGTCTTCAGAATGGAGCCTGAGTGGGTGGGGGTATGTGGGAGCACTGTGTCAGAGGTTAACTGCTCTCTCTTGATTTCATGGAGCCCATGCCACAGATTTGGAAACTGAGGTCCTAGGGCCCACAGAGGGTCAGAGGTGGTTGAGGGGACTCGTTCCTCCACCCCACACTCCTACATGGGAAGAAGGCTTAATGAAAGGGGAATTTAGACTCTGAGCTATCCCACTTCCCCATTTTTCCACCCTCACAGGCTGGTCTGCGGAGCCTACAGGACTTGGTTCCTGAGATCCGACAGGCCCTCACCTGTGACATAGATGAAGAGGAAGAGGAAGAGGGACAGGGTAGAGAGGAGGAGGAAGATGAAACATACCAAGTGAGGACAACAAGTTTCCACTCCCCCAGGATTGTAAAGTACCCCTCAATCCCCTGAGTAACTCCCACACTGCCTCTAAGGAGAAGCCCGCACCCACCCACCCACCCTGGCAATAGACAAGTGTTTATTTGGTAACCACCATCCACTGTTGGAGGCCAAGACCCAGATACAGTCAGTCTCTGGGGTGCTCACTAGAGATACTCCATATGACCAAGTGACTTAGATATAACATATAACATGCATGCAACACTGTCTTGTGACTCCCACAGGCTCCAATGGGCTCCCAGCCTCCATCCCGTAAGAGCTCCCTGATTTCTGTGTCTCTGCCGACTGGGGACAAACTGCCAGATTCACTCTCCCTTGGGCCCAGCGATGATGATATGGGGCCTCCCAACTCCAGACAGTCCAGTGTGCCCCAGGCTGGATCCCATGCTCACAGGTATGATGGTCAAGAGTCTGGGGGGAAGATTGGGAGGGAAGGCAGTGACTAGCCACTGTATGGAGATAACTCAGGGGGCACAGGAGTAAGGCCTTCTAATGGAAATTTGGGGAAGATGAGAGGGTTTCAAGGGCTCAGGTGGGAATAAAGGATAATAAGATTCATGTGAGAAAGGCAATGCAAAGGTTTAATGCAGCTGAAACCGGTTTGGCTCAGTGGATAGAGCATCAGCCTGCGGACTGGAAGGTCCCAGGTTCAATCTGGTCAAGGGCATGTACCTTGGTTGCGGGCACATCCCCAGTAGGGGGTGTGCAAGAGGCAGCTGGTCAGTGATTCTCTCTCATCGATGTTTCTAACTTTCTATCTCTCTCTTCCTCTCTGTAAAAAAATCAATTATATATATATATATATATATATATATATATATATATATATATATATAATTTTTTTAAATATTTAATGCAAAAAGCACATGATGTGGGACTAAATGGGTTTAAGTTCAAATCCTGTAGCTGCCATTTGCTAAGTGACCTTGGGCTACTCACTTAGTTTTCACGGTCCTCAATTTCCTCACCTGTGAAAGGGAGATAATAGCACCTTACTTCATAAAGATAGTGGAAGGATGAAATAAGGTCACTCCTAGCTTTTACACCCCAGCACCCTCCCAATTCTTTTATTTATTTATTTATTTATTTATTTATTTATTTATTTATTTATTTTACAGAGAGGAAGAGAGAGGAATAGAGAGTTAGAAACATTGATGAGAGAGAATCATAGATCAGCTGCCTTTTGCACACCCCCTACTGGGGATGTGCCCGCAACCAAGGTACATGCCCTTGACCGGAATCGAACCCGGGACCTTTCAGTCTGCAGGCCGACGCTCTACCACTGAGCCAAACCGGTTTCGGCAACCACCCCCCCCCCCAATTCTTATTTGAAGTTGTCTCTTTAACAGGCCAACTTTGATTTGATTTTATTTTTTGAAATGTTGGGTCTTTCCAATGAGAAAAATGTGTCTTAAAAGAAAACCTATATTCACTTTTAAATAACAGCTTAATTTTATGTTATGTTAATTTTATTTTCTCCCAATTAAAAAAAAAATTAGAAGCCCAGTGTTTCTGTAAGTGAGAGGGAACCAGGGGCCCAGGACCACATACGGGTATTTGGGGATCTGATCTGCCTAACTTGCCTCACTTTCCCCAGGAGAGGTTCTGGGGCTCTGATCTTCACCATTCTGGAAGAAGGAAGTTTTCAGCCCAAGGGAACTGAAGGGCAGGAGAAACAGTATGAGGAAGAGGAAGTCCCGGGCCAGTATTCTGGCCACAACAAGTAGGATGAGCCCATGTTTGGGGGGAAGGAATGATAGCACCCCATCACCCATGCCCAGGCCTGAGCTCACCCCTGGTCCTCCCTTCTTCCCATTCAGGGGCTTCTACTCAGATGAGCAGGCCAGGACTCCCTCGTGTCCCATCCTTTTGCCACCTCACAGACCCCAGAGATACGTGGATGGCCACTACGCACCTCGCCGCCGTCTGCTGCCCCCAACACCGGCAGGTGAGAGTGTGAGTGGGTCATAGGGACCCCATGGGCCAGCAGGGCAGAAGGGTGGGGAAGCACTGACAGATCCCCCTACCCCCCCACCACCTACCGTCCTCACCCCCAGGTCGGAAGCCCTCCTTCACTATCCAGTGTCTGCGGCGACAGGGAAGTTGTGAGGATTTACCCATCCCAGGCACCTATCATCGTGGGCGAAACTCAGGGCCCAGCAGGGCACAGGTGAGGTGAGGTGGGGGCAGCCTAGGTTAACATTTGTTAATGTGTTTTTATTTATTTTAGAGAGAGAGGAAGAGAGAGAGAGAGAGAGAGAGAGAGAGAGAGAGAGAGAGAGAGAGAGAGAAACATCGATGAGGAACATTGATCAGCTGTCTCCTCCATACCCCCTACTGGGGATTGAGCCTGCAACCTGGGTGCCCTGACCTCCTGGTTCATGTGTCAACACTCAACCACTGAGCCACACAAGCTGGGCAGCCTGGGTTGAATTTCTCAGACACACTACATGTCAAGAGCTTCTGAAGAACAAGCCACATACTGTATGAACTCACACATTCTCACTGTACCTATAAGGTGGGTACTGTTATTAGTCCCAGTTTACAGATGAGGAAACTGAGGCCCAGAGAGGCTTACCCAAGATCACACAGCTAGTAAGTGTCAGAGCTGAGCCTTAAACTCAGGTCTTCTGTGCTTTTAAATGAGCTCACGGGTAATTTACACACATTCAGTGTGACCACAGTTGAGCTTAGGGGTAAGAGGTAGGCACAGAAATGAGTCCTATACCCTCATACTCCACCCATCCATCACTGTCCCTCTTATGTTTATTCTGGTCCAGGGTTCCTGGGCAACCCCTCCTCAGAGGGGTCGGCTCCTGTATGCCCCACTGTTCTTGGTGGAGGAGGGTGCAGCAGGGGAGAGATACCTCAGCAAATCCGGCGGTCCACTTTGCACCTTCGCCTGTCTGCAAGTGCCTGGAACCCACTCAGTCCCCAGTCACGGCAAGAGGGGCAGTGCTGACAGCCTGGTGGAGGCTGTGAGTTCAGAAGGGGCATGGGCAAGAGGGATGGGGGAGAACAAGAGGAGGAAGGAGCTTGGGAAGAAGAGGAAAAGGGTCCCGGGTCTCTGTGCTTGCATGTAGCTCCCCCTTTGCTTTGCGACGTCTACTCAGCATGATGTGTGTCCCACTGTCCCCCGCTGACTTCCCTGCATATCCTCAAGGATGCATCGCTTATCCACACCGCCCTCTCTGTGCATGCTGCTTCAACTCCATGCTGTGCCTTCTGTCAACTCTGATCCTATCTGTGGCCCCAGGTGCTCATCTCTGAGGGCCTGGACCTCTTTGCCCGAGACCCGCGCTTTGTGGCCCTGGCCAAGCAGGAGATCGCAGATGCGTGTCGCCTGACACTGGACGAGATGGACAGTGCTGCCAGTGACCTGCTGGCACAGAGAACCAGCTCACTGTATAGTGACGAGGAGTCCATCCTCTCCCGCTTCGATGAAGAGGACCTGGGAGATGAGATGGCCTGTGTCCATGCCCTCTAAATTCCCACCCCTATCCCACTGCTCAATAAACCTCCTGCCCTCCCTTCTGCAGGGGGAGACAGGCATGGACCACACACTTGGAGTTTGATGTCTCTGCACTTGAAGACTAGGGCTGCCTAGAAGCCCCTATCCATCCATCCACCCATCCATCTATCCTGGTTCAGTGCTGAGCCACTGCCCACACATGGGTATTTCCGGAAACCAGGACAGCCAGGTCTGATTACTCAGCGTCAGTGAAGGAGGGAGGAGGAGGAGGAAGAGACAGCAGCCAAAAAAAGCTGGAGGCAGAGTGGAGGTGGTGGAGGAGGGGTCAGCACTGGACAGAAATGGAGGAAAGGAGAGGCGACTTGGATGAGGAGTGTGGTAAAGTCAGAGACCCCACAAGGGGTCAGTCAGGTCAGACTGAGGAAGGACACATAGATGAGAAGGAAAGGATTAAAAAAAAAAAAAAAAAAAAAAAAAAAACAGAGGAGAGTCCTGCCAGTAGAAAGGCCTAGAGGTTAGAATTAGCCTGGTATGGCCCAGTTGGCATGGCACAGTGGTTGAGTGTCAACCTATGAACCAGGAGGTCACGGTTCAATTCCCAGTCAGGGCACATACCTGGGTTGTGGGCTTAACCCATCGTAGGGAGCATGCAGGAGGCAACCAATCAATAATTCCCTCTCATCATTGATGTTTCTATCTCTCCCTCTCCCTTCCTCTCCAAAATCAATAAAAATAAATTAAAAATATATTTAAAAACAAATTAGCCTGGTATATGTTATGTCAGGCAGAGGGGTCCTCTGATGGCATCAGGGATTTCTGGGGGGGCTAAATTGTTATCACCCTGTCTCCCACATTCCACCTTCTGCCTGAGAAAAAGAAAACCTACATCCATTGCCAGAAGACATGGGTGACAGCAAATGATGGGACTCCATTCCCAGGAAGTCCCACTCAGGGCCCAACAAGCTTTTCTGAGACCAGCTAAGAGTAACCCACTCTCCTCTCACACAGATCCCAGAGCTCCTCTTTCTGCTTCTTGCCCTACCTATAGTCATTGCCCAACCTCTGGAATCTCATTCATTCAGTGAAAGTTTACCAAGCATTTATTTGTATTGGGCACTGTTCTGGTTTCCCTCAGAGGAAACTGAGCTGACTTAGACATGTCACATGACTTGTCCAAAGTGGAAGTCAGCCCCACTCCAAAGGAACTGAAGGGAGTGCTGGGAGTGGCATGGCATGGGATCACCACTAGGCCCTTAGGATCTCCTCCCAGCCCTCACAGCAGGGGTTTTTCATTTTTAAAACTTGTGTCAATTGAGCCAGTACTGAAATTTGATGAAAGCCCAAATTGGAGACTGGGACTCAGAATATACACTGAGTGGCCAGATTATGATGACCTCTGAAAGCATAATAATCTGGCCAATCAGTGTATATGCTATATAATAAAAGGCTAATGTGAAAATTGTCCCTTCAACCAGGAGTTCGACCAGCAGGCAAGCCGGCCAACCGCCAATGTCCCCTCCCCCTGTTCAGGCTGGCGGGACCCCACCCATGCACGATTTCATGCATCCGGGCCTCTAAAATATATATATACTGAGTGGCCAGATTATTATGCGTTCAGAGAGCATAATAATCTGGCCACTCAGTGTAGAGTGGTTGGGCTGGTGTATTGTGGGAACAGTAAGTCACAGGCAGGAAGTAGAGAGTGAAAAGCTGTTAAAGATGAGGTGGGAGAGGCCACCTGAGGCCAGATGAGGCAGAGCCTTTCACTGCGAGGCCTCAAGCCCTGTGACTTTTCCTAAAAGCAGTGGGGAGCCATGGAAGGGATTTGAGCTGGGTAGTGACATAGTTAACTTTGCATTTTAAATAGATGCTCAGATGACTGTGCTGAAAACAGAAGGGAAGGAAACAAGACCTAAGATGCTAAATTGGCAGGAACAATGGTTGCCTTAGCCAGGGAAGGTGGCAGAAGGGATGGTGAGAAGTGAGTGGATTCCAGAGATGTGTGGGAGGTAAAATGAAGCATTTATTTGGCCATGTGCAACACGCATTACGATGGTTATCTTGTTTCACCAGTGCAACGACCTTTTAAGTATAATTTTAAACATCTTACATGTCCAAAATCATGCAGAATATTAGAGCTGGGATTTAAATTCAAGCAACCAAATGTCAAGACCCGTGCTCTCCCTCCCACCACCCCTGTAAGACAGTAACTGAGAAGTATCCATTACATATTTGTGTGAATTTGAGTGTGTGTGTGTGTGTGTGTGTGTGTGCGCTTAAAAAATAGGTACACATTCAGACGATTCAAAATTCAAAAGGTACAAAAGGATATACAATAAAAAATCCTTCTTCCCTTTGGAGGCAACCAGCATTATCAGATATATTTTATACATGTGAAGGATTCTTTATCTATAAGTTAGTGGCTAAGAGTAACAGATACTAGTACCAGACTTCCTGGGTTCAAATCCTAGTTTTACCATTTACCAGATTAGGAGAATTCTTTCACCTCTCTGCACTCTAGTTTATTCACCTGTAAAATAAATATATCTAGTAGTAGCGCCTGCCTCATGGGTTGCTGTGAGGATTCAAATGAGTGATATAATGAAGCTCTCAGAACAGTGCTTGGCACAGAATAGACAAAATTTTAAATGTTAGCTATTCTCTCTCTCTCTCTCTTTTTTTTTTTTAATATATTTACTTCAGAGAGGGAGAGAGAGGAGGAGAGCAATAGAAACATCAATAATGAGAGAGAATCATTGATCAGCTGCCTCCTGCACTTCCTACACTGTGGATCAAGCCTGCAACCTGGGCATGTGCCCTGACCAGAAATCAAACCATGACTTCCTGTTTCTTTTCTTTTTTTTTTAAATATATTTTATTGATTTTTTACAGAGAGGAAGAGAGAGGGTTAGAGAGTTAGAAACATCGATGAGAGATAAACATTGATCAGCTGCTTCCTGCACACCTCCTACTGGGGATGTGCCCTTAATGAAGGTACATGTCCTTGACCGGAATCGAACCCGGGACCTTTCAGTCCACAGGCCAATGCTCTATCCACTGAGCCAAACTGGTTAGGGCTTTGACCTCCTGTTTCATAGGTTGATGTTCAACCACTGAGCAATGCTATCCAGACAGTTGTTTTCTTTTCTTTTTTTTTTTAAATCAATCTTTATTGTTCATATTGTTACAAAGGTTCCTCATTTCTTCCCCCCTCCACCAGGGTCCCACCCCACCCTCCGCCCCCTCCCCATCCCCCATTGTCCTCATTTATAGGTGCAGTTTATGTTCAGTCTCTTCCTCCCTCCCTTTCCCCGATAGTAAATTTCTGTTCAGATAGTAAATCAGTTACTTAGCATTTTCTCATATCAATAATACCACCACATGCCCAATGATACATTTCACACAAAAGACATTTCCAAATAGGTCAACCAGCCTCATCCAGGCCCCACCCAAGGCACTCACAGATCAACACCCCAGCCCTATACTAACTCAACACATCCAGATCTAAGCCTTCATCACTTGATTCAGCAGACCCTCAAGTTCCCACAAAAGTTTCCAGCCATGTCTGAGAGGCAGCCGTGGGGCAGGGGCAGGCAAGAAGTGAGCTGTTCTGGGCCTGGCTGCTCCGGGCCTGGCCTCTGTTGCTCTGGTTCGTTCCACAACCAGCTGCTCCGGGTCTGGTCACCGCTGCTCCCGACCAAGTTGCTCTGGACCTGGCTGCTGCTGCTCCGGGCCTGGCAGCACCTGACCCGGCTGCTCTGGGCCTGGCCGCTCCCAGCCTGGCAGCTGCTGCTCCGGGCCTGGCCGCACCAGACCCGGCTGCTCCAGGCCTGGCCGCAGACAGTTGTTTTCTTTATAATTATGATATAATCCTTCCCTTCTCTTTGTACACAATCTCCACACAGTTTGGCATGTTGCATGCCTCAACTAAATATCTCGGCAACCATCCCATATCTCCACATTAAGGGGTTTTTTTGTCTTGTTTTGTATTATTATTATTATTATTATTATTATTATTATTTAATCCTTACCGAGGATATTTTCCATTGATTTTTAGAGAGTGGAAGAGATAGAAAAAGATAGAGAGAAATATTGATGTGAGAGAAATACATCGATTGGTTGCCTCCTACATGTGCTCCAACCAGGGCTGGGGAGGAGCCTGCAACCAAGGTACATGCCCTTGACCAGAATGGAACCTAAAAGCCTTCAATCCAAAGGCCAACACTCTATCCACTGAGCCAAATCAGCTAGGGCTCCATATCGTTGTTTTTTATTGATTTGAGAGAGAGAGAGGAAGTGAGAGAAACACTGATTTGTTGGTCCACTCATTTATGCCTTCATTGGCTAATTCTTGTGTGTGCCCTGACCAGGGATGGAACTAGCAATCTTGCCATAGGGATGATGCTCTAACCCACTGAGCTACCCAGCCAAGGCCCATATCTCTACACTGTTAATGATAGTTGTATAGTACTCCATTTTGTAGTTGTATCAGAGTTTATTTGAATGGGCCACCAATAGTGAGCACTTTGGGAGTGTCCACTCCTATTATAAACAGTGCTGCAATATATCACCTTATACACACATCTTTTAGCACATATACGAATCTATCTGTGTAAATTCCTATAAGTATAAATGCTGAGCCAAACAGTGTAAGGATTTGTTAGTTTGATAGATTTTGCCAAGTTACCCTCCCTCTCCAGAGGTTATGCCAACTTAACTTCCACTATCAACCGATGAGAATGTCTGTTTCTGGGCAACCTGCCAATATTGAGCATTACTGAACTTGTTTATATTCACCTCCCTCAAAGATGAAAAACAGTATCTTAGGAGTTTTTATAGGTATTTCTTTTGTATGAGTGAGGTTGAGCATGTTAAATTCCAACTGTATTTGTCCATTGGATGTTGTTACATGACACTCACCATTGCCTTTGGTGGGCCTAGTGTTAGTATCACGAAGGAGGGGTAGTCCAATTAAGAGTGGGCTGGGGGCCGAAACCAGTTTGGCTCAGTGGATAGAGCATCGGCCTGCAGACTGAAGGGTCCCAGGTTTGATTCCGGTCAAGGGCATGCATCTTGGTTGTGGGCACATCCCCGGGGGGGGGGGGGGGGGGGGGGGGGGGGGGGCAGGGGGCGGCTGATCGGTGTTTCTCTCTCATCGATGTTTCTAGCTCTCTATCTCTATCCTTCTCCCTTCCACTCTGTAAAAAATCAATAAAATATATATTTTTTTTTAAAAAAAGAGCAGGCTGGGGAATAGACAGGACATTAAGTGTAGGCAAGAATTTTAAGAGGATGAGAGAAATAGGGAAGATGGTTGGAAGGGGGAGGGGTTTTAAGATGTGCTTAAAATGCAGATGAGAAGAAACCCTCAAGACCTTGAACTATGTTTCAATTTCAGGGACTTTGAGCACTGCCAATTACTAGCTGGACAACCTTGTGCAAATCACGTCACCTCTCTGGGGCTCATTCTCAGCTGTAAAAATGGAGCTAATAGTCCCTACCACATACATAGGGCTGTTGTCAGGATTAAATGAGTGAACACATTTAACAAACTCAATAAA